ATCTATTCATTATAGACAATTTCCCTAAAGTAATTTACGGAAAAGTAATATGTAATATGTTCATCTACTGTTACTCGACGTTGATATTTTAAAACAAACATTTATTGAACATTATTTGAGCGTTTTAATTTTTGGGTTAAAACTTAATTAATCGGAACAGATTTAAAAAAAGAAAAGAAAAAAACTACGTTCCCAATATGAATAAATACGTATATATTAAAAGAATAATTGAAATTCTTTCTTTTGTAATTTTGATACATTTTACGCACGTTGCAAAAAAAAAAAAAAAAAAAAAAAAAAAAAACAGAAAAAAAAGAAAAAAATAAAAGAAAACAGAAAAAAAAGAAGAAGAGAAAAACGAAACTTTTCAGTTTCGACGGAACTCAATTATATAAAAAATTCACGAATTAAAACTTTAACAAATTTTATGTTTGATCACATACATTTTGACGACCGTTTCCTCTTTCTATTTGTTTCAACACAAAATCCATTAGCAGATCTTGCTAATTATTTATCTTTTATTATATATTTTTGTTTTCTAATATTTTATTGTACGACTTTAATTTATGCATTTATTATAACAATTAGCTATAATGATATAATTGGTTATAAAGATAAACGTTATTATTGTGACGTCATTGTGGCCTAAAATGAAAAAAAAACTGTTCATTAAAAATCGATAATATAAATTTAATAAAAAATTTTTTTAAATACCCGTAATTGATAAATAAGCAATTAAGTAGTTACATCATCTAAACTACCATTTATGTATATCGTCACGCCGTTCAAATTGTCCGAACCATTTATATACGATCTGAGACTATTGAAAATGTACTCGAAATATAAATGTGTCCATTAGTTGGAAAATGAAACGTTTCAGAAAAAATTTAAAAAAATACAAAGAAAATAAAAAAAAAAAAAAAAAAAAGAAAAAAAAAATAAGAAAAAAGAGAAAAAAGAAAAAAAACCACGTTCCAACACGTTTATACAAGTCCGTGCTTGTGGGGATGTCTTCAGTGATCTGATCAGAAAGTAGGCAAAATAATCTTTATTAATATGATATTTAGGTACGTAAATACATACATAAATAATTACATATGTAACCGTATGTCACATATAAATGTTTTACCTTTGATGACCTTTATAAATATTATGTTTCCGTGTACGTCAAGATTACAGTGTTAACAAAGTTAAAAAAAAAAATGCGCTCATAATATAAATATTATATAAATAAAATGAGCGGAAGTATAAATTTTTTGTAATATAGATTTCATTATAATTGTAGATTTTATTGTATAGAAATCGCATATGTTTGCTCTATGTTATTTAATCAATATTAAATAGTTCCTTTTTTTCTAGCTGACTCTCTAATTCTCAATATTAAAATAAAGTGGAAGCAACTGATATAATATTTTCATCATATACATATATGATGAAAAATCATTACTAAATGATGCGTACTAAAAAAAAAAAGGACGCAAAAAATACACAATTTACATATTATGCGTACACGGATGTGCATGAATAACATGCGTTATTTCACTCTCGTAAGAAAAAACGATATAATTATTTTATATTAAGTGCTTATTTGTCGTAATGAAAATATTACTAATACATGAACGCGTTTCTATGATTGCGTTTTATTTTTATGGAAATTAAAAAAAACTTTGAAAAAAGTTATCAGCTAGTTGTTAATTTAAAATTTTAATTCCCGATAATTTTAATTTTAATTTTTTTCCTAATATGCTAATAATAAGCTGTACTATCATTATTATTATCATTATGTAAATATTATTATCAAAACGAATCTAATCAAAATGACTTTTAAATCATTTGTCTGTATGTAAAATTATGATTTAACATATTTTTTGGTATATTATTATACAATAATGTATTGAAACGAAATATAATAAAAAGAAATATAATAAAAATCTCATAATATTTTCATATAACATGTGTCTTCTTATAATGAAGTCATCAATTAATCCATCCAAAATGTCGTTTATGTATATTTCTTTACAAATAAATAGAATAAAATAACTTATATAGTTATTCTTATAATAATTAAATAAACAAATATAAATAGTTAATTTAAGTCGACAATGATACGACAGATAATAATGATCATTATATTAATATACATAAGATATCAACTAAGATATCAAAAATATAAAAATATTAAAATGTAGAACAAGGACACTAAAAAATCATTATATGTTTAAGGTATATATATATATATATATATATAGAGAGAGAGAGAGAGAGAATTCTAATTTTTGTTTTTTGAAAAATAATTCGATTATAAAACGGATTAGATTTTATATCTGAAAAGTAAAGAAATAGATATTGTTGTAAATAGTATTTAAACAGAAAATATACGATTGACTTCAAATGCTTTAATTTGATTCTTATTCCAACGAGAAAATGGAATTTATTATTAGACAGATTTGATAGATTGGATATTGGCTTCTATAATTGTATCGTAAAAATTTCAACGAGGCAACCCTTTTATAAGATACGAGATTTGATCGGTGTGAATTTCGAAACGTTTCTTTGTCAACAATTTAGAATCGAATGAAAGCGAAAAAAAAAAGAAGAAAATGAAAAATAAAATGAAGTAAATAAATTAAGTTGATGAATGGAAAAAAACACTTATGCTAAATTTGAATTCTGAATATGATTCGAATATGTAAGTTCACGCAATATCCTATGAATAGTATATATTTATTGGAGATTATATATATGATAATATATTGGAAATATACAATTCTTCTATAAGTGATTCACTTTTATGTTCACTTCACCTTATATATATATATATATATATATATATATATTATATTTTTTTTTTATATTATTATATATATATTTTATATATATATATTATTATATATATATTTTATTATATATATATTTTTATATATATATATATATATATATATATATATATATATATATAAGTACATGTCTTTTGTAAATTTGTTAAGTACATTGTCTAATTGTTACAATTGACAATGTACTTAACAAATTTACAAAAGACATGTACTTATATATATATATGTGTTAAATTATATATATAATGATAAATTATTAATAGCCAAGAGTTATTTCAATCAGCCGATGAAAAAAGAATTACAACCGATTTCATACAAAATATAGAATATTATTCGTTATTTTACATTGGATTTAAAAATTTTGCGATGATATGAAATGATCATTAGATAATCATAGATTTGCTCCTCATTATATAGTTAAATAAAATGTTTCGTACCGTCCTATTGGTCAATTTGCTAAGTTTTTTTACGAACGAAAGGAACGGCACTTTTATTTATTTATTTAAACGCATTTATAAAAGAAAAAAGTAAAAAAAGGAAAAAAAAAATAAGAAAGAAAAAGAAAAGTAATAAAATGTGAATTTTGCATTGAAGGACTTGTTAAGTCCTACAGATGCATATACGCGTTGATATTTGCTTGTTCGTTAATCGCGACTCGGTGACCTAACCTCTACAGTGTTCGTAATTTGTGCTATTATATTACAATAGAAGAGGACTTCGTATGTCCTGTGTCTACTTAGTATAATATATATATATTAGTATATATATATATATATATATATACATACATAACCTACTGAGTTTACACGGCATTATTGTTCTATGCGTCCTTCGACGTGTTTCTACATTTGTCAAGCTTTTTTCTACAACGTATTATAAATTTTTTTCCCCTTTCTCTCTCTCTCTCTCTCTCTTTCTCTCCCCTTTCGATCCTATCGCATCCTCGATTTCATCGACAGGTTAAACGACCGATCCCCATCGATGATAATTGCCCAAGATTAACAAGCACGAGAAAGAGGAGGAAAAAGAGGAAGTATAGATTGATTGAAATCGAACGATAAGCGAGCGAGAGCAAGAGAAAGAGAGAGAGAAAAAGAGAGAGAGAGAGAGAGGTAGAATATTTTTCAAAGCCGACAATTGACGTCCTCGTCGAGTTTTCTCGACGAAACGAATGTTTTCTATAGAGACTAACGAACGGGATCGAGTAACTAATATCGAAAAACAGACAGATAGTGAGAGAGAAAGAGAGAGAGAGAGGAGAAACAATGAATAGAAAAAAAGATGAATTTGGAAGGACAGAAGTGATATATGATGATGAAAACAGCTTCGTGCCAAAAATCTATTTATGTATAATTAAAAATATAAAGATTATACGGAAGTACTTTATTTAAAATAGACTCACCTGGCTCCTTCTTTTTTTATCCCTTCCAATAATCGTAATCTCTTTTTTCGTCAATGAACTTTCCCGTTTGTTCGTTACAAGTCACGTGTCATTGATTTTTCTGATGGTCTTTGATTTTTCTTTTTCAAATTAATTTGAATAATGGAAATTTTTAAGAAGAAGTGAACGATGTCCTGCGATTGAAACTTACTCTCTCTCTGTGTCTGTCTGTCCTTCTATCTTACTCTGCTATGCCAGGGATTAATGCAACAATCCAACAGCGCCACAGAAACTGAGATGCCGGCTATCGCGGCAATGGTTAAATATAATTCTTGGACCGATGTAAGCGCTACATTTATCGCCATCTTTTGACATCTAAAATAAATATTTAGGAAATGTTATCCATTGAGTAAATAAGAAAAAAGAAAGAGAGATATTAAAGGGAAATAAAATTATTTAAAAATAGAATGATAAATAACGAAGTTGATAATAATGGAAAAAAGACAAAAAAATTTATATACATTTTAGCTTAAACGGAAGATTTATTATAATTATTTGACTATGACATATAAACACGTTATGTTTGAATTGATATCGTGTGCGCATTTTTATATAAGCAAATAAAAAAAAAACAAAATCATTACATAACTAAGCGAAGTTTATAATTCATATTATTTATTTATTATTAATTTTAATTTTAATTAAATTATTATGTGAATCTTTAATTATTAATTTTAATTAAATTATTATGTGAATCTTTAATTATTAATTTTAATTAAAGATTCACATAATAAGATAACGTTGTTTAAAAATAATAAGAGCAAAGGATATTTGTTGGACTATGATACATATCTCTAGTTATTTTTATTCATTAATTTTCGACATATTTCGATTGAATATAAATGATCAAAATATTTTTTAAATGACGTTTTTGTGTGTAAAAACGCAGATAGTGCACGTCGATAAACGTGACATAAATAAAAAATGTTTAGAGACGAAAAGGTAAAACATCCGAATTGTTTTTTTTATTTTCCTCCGTGTTCTCCGTCTTAATCGTTTTCTCGACTAATATATCTCGTTTGTCGATCGTTACATTAGATTGTTTTTGAGATGTACCGACGAACGAGGCCCAGAAAGCCCTTTTTGATATGTTATTGGCTGATCGCTTTCGTATGGACGATGAATGTTTAACAGACGAACGATTTTTCATGATCGATGATACGTTCAATGATTCATTAGGTTTCTTTCTATTCATCGAAATCATTTCGCTATTTTTTGAGGCAAAATTAGGATAATTTATAAAGTAAGAAGTCGCAGGTTTATTTGAATGATCATTAATAAAATAGGGTTGAAACGAGTGATCGTTATGATATCCATGATGGCTAGGATGACGATTAGAATGATGATTAGTATTATGAGGAAGAGGATGATGATCAAGTTGTTGATGATGTCGGTGATGATAATGAAAGTGTATATGAGGCATATGAGGAATAAAGTGATGTTCTCGAAATCCCCGTACTATGCTATCTTGCATTTGCTTCCTTTTGTTCCAAATTCTCTCAAATATTCCAATAGAAACGGCGGTAATGAGGCCAACTATCAGTATTAAAAAGGCCGAGTAAACATCGGCGAATCTTGCACTGTTAAATGTCGTTGGTGCTTTGCACCTTGGCATTTCTGGTAACATTTTCTCAGCTATTCTTCGAAGAACACCGTGTTCTTGTATACGCAGTATACTGCAATGATAAAGTATAGTATAGTTTTTTTAATGTTCTTTTGATAAATGGCTCTTTTTTTTTTATTTACTGCGAATGATAACATATAAATTAATCTGATGGCTGATTACGAAAGTTAAGATTAGATTTACCTCAAATTGATAATCTTTTTATATGGACAAGTATTGGCCATAGGTAAAGCGACGAGAGTAAACGTCTGAGGTAAAGGGAGTTCCTTTAACGAACATCTTTCTTGAATGAACGTTGTACGTAAAACACGGCGTGCCAGAGTTGCGCTAACGAAAAATCCATAACGTCCTTGAGCGGCTTTCATGAGACCAGTCGTCGCTCCCAAACGAGATTCACGATTGTTGAAAGCTTTTATATATAGTTGACGAAGGTGACTGTCGTTAACGTTCTACAAGAATTTTGATAACAGAAAAGAAGTCAAAAATCCATGTATTTATAAAGAACTTCATACCCGAATGTATTCATCATCCGTGATACTGTATCCTAATTTAAAATTATTAAACAAGAGATCTGTAATCGATTTTATTCCACTGGCTTGTACAGATAGAATGGAAGTTATAAAACCAGCGTAAGCATTGTAAGTGACCAATGCAAATACTAGGCTAAAAAGTAAGAGAGTCTTTCCCGATGGACTTTTTGGTATCCAAGGTGATCCTACGGAGGATAATATAAACGATATATCTTAATTGGCATTTTAATCATTTTTTATAATCAGAATAGTTAATCAGATTGTTGTTAAACCTTGCATGCACATGATACTCATGCACCAAAGTGCTGCTTCACCGAGTCCAACGTTCTTCTCTTCTTCAGGATGTAAAGTTCTTTTAGCCACGTAAATAATCGTTCCCATTGAGAGTAAGATTAAGAAGTATGTGGCAGCTACGCAGCCAAGTAATCGATCATTGAATGGCTGTAGAAATATATCTCTCATGGTACCGGTTTCCAACGGATGATAATAAACATTTCTCCTGTAATTAATGTAAACGAACAAATTTATCAATTGTTAAGAACATAAATACAGATGTTAAATACTAACATGTATCGAATAAGAGGATGGCTGAACGCCATATCTCCTAATCTTTCTTCATTGATAGTTATGTATCCTAATCCAACATCTACAGTACCAGCAACTACGTCACCGAGAAGATTGCTCCAAACCTTGTTCGTCAGAGTTCCAAGTTTATCGTGCGGAATCAATTCCATACTCGAAATGAAGGAAATAAGAATTTATTCGATAATGTAAATCACAATTATCGAAAAATTATAATATTTGTTTTATTTTTATTTATTTATTCATTTTATTATCATTTATATAGAAATTGTGCATTGAAAATTATATTAAAAAATAAAATTAAGAATTTTCATAGGAAGGTATAATTAAAAAATAAGCGAAGATTAAATCTTTATACCTGGCATTTAGATCGTGGGTTACAGAATTAGCAAAATCTAAAAGAGGTACGATATCATTGACCTCGACCTCGTCGGTAATGTCTGTCTGGCCATCGTTTGTACCATTTAAAACGCCAAATATGATTGGCCAACCTTTGAAATCTTTTCTCAGTTTCACACTCATTGGATTCTTTAGTAAGAATAATCCTGGACACCAAGACCCAAGGGAATACACGACGAGACTGGAATTGTCGGAGTTACGAATCTTATAAACGTGTAAAAAATGGAAACACATGGTCCGATTTTCCCGAGTAATGTAATCCAGATTCATAGTTCTATCGGAATTTCGTCGTTCCGATAGATTTTGAAAATCGACAAGTTGGCCGTATTGTCGGAAGTTCGAACACGTTCTGAAATATGAAGAAAAAAAAAAAAAAAGAAAAGAAGAAAAAAGAAAAGAAAAAAAGTACTTATACGTCTCTTTTATCTTTTTTCTTAAAAAAAATTTTTCATCATAGATTCGATATAATTGATACAGAAATGATTTAAATTTTCGTTAAGGTTATTAATCATATTTTAGTTAATTATTTTTGAATGATCATATTAAGGAATATTACAGAATGAAAGTGGTCACGTTTAGGAGAGGAAGAAAAGTGATAGAGATGGGATAGAGAGAAAGAGAAATTATTCCAATGGGAATAATTTATATGTAGGTATACAATATTACTCGTGGCAATAACATAGAAGCAATTAACCTTGGCTATTTTTAACGACATAGAACGATTTCTAGTTTCTAACCTGTTCCGATACTTTAACGTCAATTCCCGCATAACGTCCTGCGAATTTGAAGAGGTTGCAACCACCACATCGCTGTCAATACCAATATTGAGATCCTTTAGAACGGCATCGATGGTGGTATCCGTATTTCTAGCCGTGATCATAAACCAAGATACGTAATAGTTGAACAATAATTTTTGCGAAGCCTAAAGATCGAAAGAAAATTTGTGATGTATGCAAATTAAATAAATCCAACAGCTGTTTCGAGATATAGTATATCTACCACATGGAGTACATTATCCGAGGAAGTCAAATTGAGTCCATCTAAAAGTACAATAGAACCAATTCTATGTCGTCGTATCGTAAGTGCGACTGGTATATTTGGATTTGTTGCCGACTGAATAGACACGCTAATTCCTCTTTCAGCAAGGCAAGTCATTAAAGGTCGAGCATATTTCAGGACACAATCTACGTGCGAGAATATCGAATTTGATTTTGGCATAGAATTATTATTTTAGATATTAATAAATATTTCTCGTTATTAAGAAAGATTTTAAAGTAATTAAAATTTATTTAAAATTTTACTTGACCTTGTCAGATTATATGTCAGTTATTTGAAATAAATCATTAATCTTTTATACTTATATTATATCAGTATATGATATCAGACTTACTTTCACAATAACAGACCGTTAAGAATTTATTTCTAATATTAGGCATATATATATTTTTATTAATGTTATACATCCTTATCAAAGAAAAATGCGATAATTTTATATGAAATTTGCAGATTAATATATCTCGTGTTAATAATTTTTTCACGGAAAGAGAAATTTCTTAGAAAGTACAAAGTGCAATATGGAAAAATATTTATATTTACAAAGATTAAAATTGTCATACTTACTCTTTGAACTGAGATTATCGAAAAGTACAATTTGATCCCATGATCTCCATTTAGCATACTCAATCATTAATTGCAACGTTAATGGCGATGGTATAATGCAATTATTTACAAAGACAAAGAAAAGAGACGAGAGTATTAACAAAATTGTCTTCATTTCTTTTTTTCTCCTTCTTCTCACCTCTTATTTCTCGAGTACACGTACTTAACAATCGTTGGCGAAGATGACGACAACAAAAATCAAACTCTTAGCGAAATCGGTTTCACATTACGTTGTACAAAAGTATATATATATATATATGTAAGCTATATAGAACCAATTATCTACGTTCGTTTTTGCTGCCTATCAACTTAATAATTTCGTTTAACGTGAGTTGTTCTAAAATTAGAAATTCAATCGAAGAATAAACTGAACATTTAAGATAAATTGTAGTTTATTGTTAGTTTTTAAACAAAATTTTATACTTCTTATTATTATTTCGAGATTAAGGTCGATCGTATATATGCATGCGTGTTTTAATAATTATTAATTATAATATTTTCTCTAACTATTAATTATAATATATATATATATATATATATAAGTATTATACGCATACCATATATAACGATTATATCACCAGTTTAATAAAATTAAATAGGAGAAAATGTTAAAAAGAAAAAACAAAAATTAAGATGATCCAAAGTGTTGTAACTACTGGTACAAAGAGAATTATTTTCCGTCGAATGATCACGCTACCATGAACTGTGTCAGATGGCGATCGGTCAGAAACTAGAAATTATCTTATAAAAAACGATTCGATTGCTTTCTTTCTGCCCCATCGAAACTATCCAATAGAAATTAATTGATCAGATAGAGATCATAAAAGCATTTTTATTTTTTGTACGAGCAAATTAATTGATTGAATGTCGTTTCACAATGGTCATTAATAATAATCCCATGGGACATGAGGTACAAGAATGGTAAAAGTAAAATTATCTATGTCGCCTAACGACGTTCCGAGTGAAAGGAAACATAACATTATTATTTATTTCGTAAGCGTTCGAATTTTCGAAATTATTGTCTTTTCTATTAAGATAAACCGACAATTTTTATTTTTGTGCACATTCGATTCACAATTGAATTCTTTACTGAAGCACAAAGTTTTACGTTAAATAAGGAAGTAAAATCGTTTTCTTCTTTTTTTCTTTTTTCTTTTTTTTTCTTTTTTTTTATACATGATTTTTCCGACAGTATTTCTTACTTATACCATCGTTAAAGAGTACAAGGAACATGTGCTGAGTTAGCTCTTAACAATCGTTCAGAATTTTTTATTTGACGTGTATCAATTAAAATAATAATCTTGCGCGATTTTCATTGAAAGATATTAAATAGAAATGGTTCGATATCTCTTGAGTCATGCTTATTGATTGAAAATTTATATGGTAATGCTGAATATCATTTCATTCAATAAAAGATTAACGATTGCGCAATTGGAATATTCCATTATTTATTAATTATTTAATCATTTGTTGGATTAATAATTAATAATTGAATTTCTTATTGTCCTAAGAAATGTTTATTTTTATTTCTTTTATAAAATGTTTATTTTTTTTTCTTTTGTCAATAATGATAAATGAAATGAATGAATGAAAAATGATGAATGAAATGAATAAGTGACTCCAAAGAATGATTATGACTATCAATGATATTGTTTTGTAATCATAAGTTTTGTATTTTATAATTAAATAAATTTAATGACTTAAAGCTTGTCTACAATGTATTATTTAGAATCATTGACAAAATTAATCGTAAACACGTCGTGAATAATTGATTAATTACCATTAAAATTATATCGGATTGTTAATAAATTAAATGATATCGAACGATTTAATATATTTTTATCTACAGATAAGATTATCGATTAGATTTATTAATCAATGATAAAAATAATTAAACATCAGAAATTATTCGAGATAAATGTTTTATATCACGATTTATCTTTGTCGGTAAATTATCGATACTGAATAAAAAAAATCACTTAGTAACAAACGTAATGTAGGAGGTTTTAATCAATTACATTTTTTTGTCCCCATTTTTAACAAGATTTTTAACAATGCAAACAGCACCATATAACTTATAATTCTAAAACTCCATCATTATTATTGATTTTCTCTTATCCTGGAACGTCGCATTAGCGAGAAATTTAATTCTCAAGAAGGCCGTGTATGGCGTTAACGGCGTTTCGGATCAATCGTTTGAGTTTTAGGAAGAGAGAAAGAGATAGAAAGTAAAACGGATAGGTAACAAACCTAAGTAATTCTGATAAAAAAAAGATATTACTTTATTATTCGAAATAACGATTGAATTTCATCGAAGTGTCAGCCTTTAAAACATCGTCACGAAGATTTTTTTGGAGTAATTTGAACGATATAGGAAAGAAAGAAGAAACGAACGACGATTTCATTCATGATTCTTCGCAAAACGATCGGGAGTGTTCTCTCACATCGACGAAAAACATTTCGTCGACATTTTGGTGCGTATATTGCATGTAGATTTTCTGCAAAAATCATTATTATACTAAATATGCAAAATTTAAATATAGAAAACAATTAAGATCAATTATTGTCTAATTAATTAGTTATGTTCTTTTATTTCTCTCTCTCTCTCTCTCTCTCTCTCTCTCTTTCTCTTTCTCTTTTTTTCACATGTGTACAGAAATAAGGCTATTTACCATCTAATAAATTTACATCATAAATTTTCCTGATTACAATAATCAAATTATTTTAACATATTCAAATATTTGAATGTATTCAAGAATACATTCAAGGAAAAATAAAAAGTGAAAACATAATGATTGTTTTCGTTTCTTCTTTTTCTTTTTTTCAAAAAAATTTTCTCTTTTCGTAAAAATTGTTTCACAAAATTATATTTTCTTTCTTTACTTTATTTTTAAACGCATTATTTTCAAGAAAATTAACATTTTTTTTTTACAAATCATCAAACATATTTCTTATTATGTTTTCATGGATGATTTCCCGGAATTTTGAGAAAAGTGCTATAGTCCTGATAAGTATTGTGTCTAAAAAATATTGACTTTCGAAATTGATATAAACATTTTTTTTTTTTAATTTAAAGATTATGATAAAGTCATTTTGTGATAGTCATCTCAAAATAAGTACTGATACATTCGACATATTGTAATACACAATTAATTTACCATTTACAATACCATGAACAATTGTTTTTAGTATATAGATAATGGTCCCATGATGGGTTTTGGCCGAACTTTAAGATTTTATAGGAAAATTTAATTCTAAAAAAAAAATAAAAAAAAAAACATCGATCGTAAATGCTTTGAAATTGCGATTACTTTATACATTTCTACAAATTTTTAGGAAATAATCTGGTCCTTAAAAAAAAAAAAAAAACCATAAAATGTATTAAAACAAAAATTAAAGAATTAAATTAGTTAAATTAAATAAATTAGTTAATTAAAAAAGTAATGAATTAAATTATACTTTAAATGAGATTTATGATTTTGGTTTGGAGATAATCGGTTTTAAATGTACAAAAAAATGATTTTTTGCGGTTATCTATAAATAATTTTATTAAAAATGGAACCTTTTTCATTGAAATGGTAGAGTTGCATACGTTGTCACTTGTGTTCGGTAGGAAACCATTTTCCCACGCATGCTAATTTGGTGATCGGGTCATTGTTAGTGCGTAGAATATTCCGTCCCTTCTAAGCGCTAAACTACAGCGCTAAACCATCGTGTTAAGCTATTTCTAGATATCATGAGTATATGGATAACATCCAGCTATATATTTAGCAATTGCAGAGAACTCCGTAAGATTTGTTCTTGAAAGGTTGTAAATCCTTTCGGTATAGTTTTCTCATATAATAGTATCAGTCGAAAATCGATTAATAATTTTCTTAAAAATTTCTAAAGTTTTTTTTTCTCAAATGGATACTCATTATAATTATGATATTAAAGAGTTTTGCAATAATACCCGGCAAATATATAGGTAGTGGTTTTGGTTAAAACGTATAAACGTTTGCGAGAAACAGTATCATTATCTAACTTGTCTGTATTATAAAGACCTATTTGCAACGTTAGAATAACAGAAAGAGTTGGGAGGTATTTTGCGAGGATACGTATCATTACGAACAATCAAGAGATACTTCGTCGTAGCATAGATAAAGAGGGGCTACGTATAATTGATTGATAAATGAAACTTACATGGATCAAAATATGCGACAAGTGGATAAAGTTGCACAAAAATTAATAATATGACTATATTCTCTTATAAATATACTCTTTTTGAATTAATTTCGTCTAGCAAACATTGATCTACTCATTTTATTCAAAGTCATATATTTTCTTTCAAATCGAAAGAAATTACTATTCGAGTTATCACACTGCATTTATTAATATGAAATAATATTTTATTTATTTTCATTTTTCATTATTCACATGTAATTCCCTTTGTTCTCATGTTACGACAAAGTATCGTCGTATAAATAATCGTAATAGCAAAATATTATTGATTAGTTGCTTATTTTCTTATTTGTTATGAGATAGAGAAAGAAAAATACATCGTTAGATACGAACTCTTTTAATATACATACTCATTGATATTTTTCTATGTAAAATAAGCTCGAAGGAATAATAAAAGATATAGAAATGGCAAATAAATTCGACTGAGTCTAGAGAGAAATTCAAATTTGAATGAACAACAGATATGGACAAAAATATTTACCAGTAAGCTGAATAATAAAGATTATATCCTTCATTTTGATCTTTCGTAATGTTTCAGTATTTATTATAATGACATTAATAAATACGGTCTATCTTTTGTATAATTCCGTACACGCGAAACAAAATGAAATACGAATTATTTCATCGAGTGAATATCGAATATCAATGTATATCCATATTTTTTCAACAAATCAACAATGAAGAATTTTTTATTGACGTTCCTTATAGCAATCATATTCAATAACAAATTAATATTATCGATATTAGCCAACAAATAATAATACCGTATCAAATAATACCGTATCGAATAATACCTAAATCGTAGGTATACGATCAATATTGATAAAATATTGATAAAAAATATTGATAAAAAATATTGATACTCGTTTGATACTTCTGTGAAAGTATTTGTAACCATTTGATATTTTTATAAAAATTTAAATGCAAGTGACTCTTCGTTTTTTATTATTTGTCTTTTGTTTTTTAGAATATAGTTTACAGGCTTTCTTCGTTTGTTTATTTATCGATACATCAATGAAAATGAATTATCAAACGTGTAGTTTTCGATTTGATATCGATTCAAGTATCACTATTGAAATTTGGTATCAAGTATCTAAAATTTCAATACGTATCGATGCTTTGAATACTTTGGTATTACATAAATACATATAATTTGATATTACATACTTAAATATACTTTGGTATATTCTTGAAATTGATTGAATATCATCAATAGTATCGGTATAGATCCGATCATTAGTTACATGTATCTTGTAAAAGTCATTATTTGTTATCGAATGTGTTTTTTCAAATTTTTGTTGTCAACAATAAATGTTATCAAAGGAAAAAAGCAAACACTCGGACACATGTGGTAACACAACAAATAACTCTTCTCCATTGCCATAAAAACGAATAATACATGGTAGATAGCACGACATGATTATAATTAGTTTCAAACAAATTTAAAATTATTAGTTATTTAACAAAAGATTTTAAAATATCATTTGAAATCATGTAATAGCATATACGTATGATATAGTATTAATGTATTTTTATTGTTATTCATATTTTAACGGTTAATAAATATTTTATTTTATTTATTACAATGATATTATGCCTCTCTAAATTATTTCTTTTTTTGTCGTTTTTTTTTTCTAATTATAAAATCTTCATAAAAATAACAAAAACTTGAGAAAGTTTTAATATTCTCTTTTTGGAAATACATTTAAATTATTCATATTGAAATTAAATTATTTTTGCTAAAGTCGTTTTGTTGACAGTAATCAAATGTCTTTTATTATTTTAATTTTCATTCATGAGTTTATATATATATATAAATACATATATATAAATATAAATGAAATATTGACCTCAAATCTTTAATTCAAAGAATTCAGATTTCTAGACAATAATTGATTGAACGTAAATCAGCTGTTGTGCGATCGAGAATAATTTCAAGTAACGGGACATTTATGGCTATAGCTATAGTAATAGAAAAGTGTTAATGTAGATGCTGTACAACTATTTTCAAAAGTAGAGCATCTTTTTATTCAAATTTGTTAATATCTCAATGATACCGGGTCACAAATAAGTCCTGACAGGTGAAAAGAAACATTTCCTATACTAGCCGGTACCGTTTAATAACCTTATTCGCCTCAAGATATCGAAACTCTTCAACTTCATTTCTTAAATTTCGTATAATATAATCATTCTTTTATTATGTGACACTTAATAAACATATTTCTTTTAATCCTTCATCCTTTTTCTCTTTTAATCTTTACATTTTTTCAAATTTCTCGTTAATCATTCGATTTCTACTAACAGATATTTCAAATATTTTTACAATTTTCAAAATATTCTTATTCAAAGAGAGATTTTCAAGGGATTTAATCTCCTTTGATGGTTTTCTATCAATATTTTTAATCTTATTTAAAGGATCAGTCTTTTTTTCATATTTTAATTAGTAATTATAATATTAAAAGATACAGAAAGGAAAAAAATAGAGAGAGAGAGAGAGAGAGAGAGAGAGAGAGAGAGAGAGAGAGAAAGAAAAGAATTAAATCATAATTTATAAGATCATAAAGCTATTACAATCATATACAAACAAACTATGACTTCATGGATGATTTAATTAAAGTTGAAGAAAAAAGATTTTATTATATTCCAATTTATAATATAATTCGGTCAATTCGCTGTATAATAAAATTCGACAAATTGCGTTGTAAAATATATACATTTTAACTTTTGACAGATTTTAAGTGTTTCAACATACACTTAGGTGATAATCTTTGCTTCCTTTCTTTCTTTCTTTTTTTCTTTTATGCTCTATATTTACTAACAGATATGCAAATGATTAGAATTCTATGACAATTCTTAAGAAAAATGTCAAACTTAGAATTTATATAAAAGAAACAAACTTTAATGATTCTTATCAGAAAGGAAAAATTTTGTAAATTGTTCTGTTGATTATATTTTAGAAATTACGCGTATGATGCTTTAAGAATAGACAAATATTTCAGGATAATTTTAATACATTTAAACGGAGCAAAAAATGTTAAAAATGAAAACGAAAAAGTATGTCTTTTTAATATTTCATTCCTTGGACCGAAATTTCTTGAAATGGAAACAATTTCAGTTCGATCATGATTTGTTTTTCGATTTACATACCTCTATTTTTTATCATAAAACAAAAAAGAGAATTACCAGTAAAAGGAAAAGAAAAAACCTTGAAGAAATTATACTAAGTCTAACTCGAACTGACAAAAATTCAATATTGTCCTATCCAAGAAGTTTGCGTATAACAAATATTTGACAAGACAGATACGTGTGACAACTAAAAATGAATAAGATAAAAGGAAGGTAGGGTCTCCTATGTTTCGACACATCCAAGTGACTTTTCTTGACTATATTTATCGCATATTACCTTTCTGATTGAAGAGTTGGCCAAGTTTTAAAGGTAAATCTTGAGATATTCTTTTTTTCTTTTCTTCTTCCTTCTTTTTGTCGCGACACATTCTTAACCTTTATTACTCTGTCCTTATTAGAAACGTTCACGAGTAGGATGAAAAGTTGAAATATATGATGATCAGAGAATGAACATCATCGTGTTAGCATTATATCTTATATCGTATTATTCATGTTAAACGTGGTATCCTACTTTGCAACAAAATGTTTATTAATTCAGTATTTATTATACACATACACATACAAACAAAATAAATAATTTATATAAATAATAAATTGATTTAGTTTTATTTAATTAACTTATTTATTTGTATACTCAATATACATCAGGTAATAACATTTTAATGTCAATATAAAGTGGAACATTAGCAGCGGGCTCATAAATTTTTCACCGATCAAAATGACGATCACTTCTCGTTCGCTTGTATTTTTTGGTATCTTTAAATCATCCACCTCGTTTACGATTCGTTTTAATGTCGTCGACCTCTTTGTTTCTGTGTCAAAAAGTGTGTTACCCGAACGGTTTATCTGCGAGCAATGATGTCATAAAATGTAATATCCATCTAACGAAAAAGTTATATCTATCTCTTTGTGATTGTCTCTTTGTAAGTGTGTAAATAAGAAAAAACAAAAACGCAAGCAATGCACTATAGAATTAATGAACTATAGATTTGTAGGTCATAGCTTCTTTACGATTTTCATTTTTCTATTAAATCTTAATGACGATACTAAATTCTTTCTAAATATTTCGATTCCATCGATATATTTAAGTAATAAAAATATCCATAAACGTTTTTCTTCGTAATTTAAAACTTATTGATTTTATATTAAAAAGATCATTAGTAAGATAATTTATTGTTAAATGAAAATTATTATAATAATAATGTATAATATTATGTATTTATTTTAGATCATTACAAATCCCGTGAGACTTCCTTTTATTGTAAAACTTTCATAGAAATAAAGACAAAGCTTTATGTCTCTATTAGCATAATTAAAAAATTTACGTAAATATATGCATTATATATGATAATGAATTACTTAAAGTATATATTAACCTATTTAGATTTTTTTTTTACGGATGCTATTGTTAGAATATTTTTTTTTTTATACGGAAATATTAAAATTATTGTTCTACGAACTCTTGCATATTTTCTATATTCTGTTTAATTTTTTCAATTTTCATATCGTTATAACAATTGTCTAACAAGATAGATATTATATTTTATTTATATTTTTAAATAGGAACTATATTTTTTGGGAACTGATTTCGTTTATGCAGATTATTTCTTTAGATTTTTTCTTCCAAACTGTTTAACGAAAGAAAAAAGAAACTGTTCTACGTAAAAATAAGAAATAAATGTTATATAAACATAGACTAATGTTTCATTAAAAAGTTTTAACAAAAATTTAATTCTTGTTATTAACGACGATCTTTTGTCTTTACTATTGTTCCATTTCAAAATGTACGTCATTTATATTGTATTTGAATTGCCATTGAAAGGCTCTTTCTTCCATAATGTATGAACTTTATTGAGAGCGTACATTATTGTTATAAATATTAAAAATAACTTCTTTCGTAAACCTTGCTTCATAAATACATAGTATTATTAATAGAAAATTATTATTTTCTTCGACTGAATAATTGTAACATTCAAAACATTCACTTTTATTATTATTTTTTTTCAATGTTTATTGCCTCTATAATAAAGTAGAACACACTAGACCAACTTTGAATTCAATTAAAATAATTCGTGCGTTGCATGATTCATGAATTTTGTTTTTATAATGACAGAATTAAAAATACGTTTTCAAATCTACTGATCATTATTTTCAAAACTTCAAAGAATATACAGTATTTTTTTGGAGTCATAATTATTCATTCTATGTAAATGAGAATTATTCAAAGTGCCTGAGGTGTAGCACATCTTGAAATTATTTTGAGGTGTGTATAAATGTTTTCAATTGTTATCAATGTATGTGCACAAATTGTTATCAATGTATTTTTTAACAAGGTTTAATATAGTCATTTATTAACATATGATTACTTTATTCAACTAATGACTTTTTATGTATATTCATAACGTTAACATACGATTTATATATAAAATCAGTAATTTACATAATATGACGAAGTATCAAATTTTACATTCTGTTATCGGTTAATTATACGTTCTAATCATGATAAAATATAATCAATTTTTTGTAAAGTATTCGATTAATTCACGCTTGAGTGTAGTCTAGTATTCTGAATATTCATATAATTTGCAATTATTTTTCGGTGAGATAGCCAAACAAGATAAATTTTAATTAGACTTATTTAAAATCCTTGCGTCTTGAATGTCTTCAGGAAAAATATCACGATTGTTCCACCTCCAAACAACATCATTGTGCGTGTGCTCGTGTTGATCTTCGATAACTTGGTATTTCATGTCATCTTTCCTTCGAGCTGCTCACTTCTGAATCAAAGGGAGAGGCTCTTTTGATATCATAAGTACAGCCGAATTTAGCGAAGTCAGGGTAGGTATAGATTTTATACAAAATCAAAAGTTTTCGAATAATTATGCCAAAGAGTAAATTTAATTAGATATAAATTAATCATTATCATTCAATATTCAGTAATTTTTAGGCTCGCACGTTTCTTTATTAATATATAATAACAAGATTTTTCGTAGCTTTGTTATGTTATTACTACTTTATTTTCATATTTACATATAATTGTATGTTTGTATATAATATAAGTAGATGCAAAAAAAAACCCAATGGAGTTCGAGAAGAATATAAATATTAGTATGTTTTGGAAAGGTTCTCTTATTGTTAAAAAAAATTGTTTCTTAATGCATATAATAAATATAAGTAATTAGTCGTCATAATGTAAGTCATATGTTAATATAAATTGTTTGCATGCCAATGTACTTTTATTTTTTATAGATTTTGACTTTCTATACTCTGACTTTTATTCCATTAAAAATTACTAATACGCATCAATATTGTTCGTATTTAACAAAAATCTAATAAATCAATATATTTCTGATAAAAAATAATAAAATTTATCCAATAATAAATTTATGATGATAAGTTTTTCATTATTATAAATATTTATATAATGATTGATTTAAACTCCAGTCTTCTTTTTTTTACGTGAATGTTCTTTTAACTCGTTTCTGGATCTTTTATTTTTTTTTCTCCTTCATATTATTTTATTCAAGAAAAAGAGTGGTGAATAATCTTTCACTCTTCCACCCGTAAATTTCGTAGTCGTTATAGTGGTAGTGGTTTAATCCAGTGGCCAATACCAATAAGTAGGACGTACTTTCTTGCACGTCGGCATTTTGTAGCAAGCTCGCCTTTAACTTAGATCATTCGGTATTTGCCATTGGTACGTACCAGTCGGTCTCTTCTGGTGTCTTCTCTTTTACTTTTTCATTCATTTTTTTTTTCTGTATCTCCAATCGTTCGTTATTATTTCAGATTATTATTAAAGAAAGCTTATTTTCGCGAGTTTGTTATTTGAAAATTCGAGTTTTTTTATTAAAGATAATAATTTGTCAATTTCGTATTTTTTACTCGGAAATTTCAAGAGGACTTGATACTTGTATCATCGATATTTCTTTGTAAGTGTTTCATCATATATTTAGTTTATTATATTTTTTATTTAACCTATTCATTTGTATCATTAACAAGTGGCTATTCCGAGGACATGATTCGTTCAAATATTTTCATAATTATTGATAAACATTGTATATGTATATACATTATAAATATATATACATTATATTATATATACATTGTAAATGTATATACATTGAGTATTATATGTAGAATTACAATTTTTTTAGACAATTGTATTTATCAAAATGACAGGCATATCTAATTCACATTTACACGATAAGTTTTCGTTTGTTAATATTAATCATATTGTTTTTATAGTTGTAGAAATTTATATATGGATATTTTTTACCTCTTTTCATTTTTCCTTTTTTCCATTCGTATAAATGTGTATTACACTGTTAAATGGTGTAAATTTATACATTTTTATTATTTTCGTCGTTCTCGTCATTTTCATAAATAATTATTTAGCATTATTTACATCAAAACATATATCATATTTTTAATCATCTTTTTATCTTGTACGTTAAGTTAAAAGGAATCGAAATATATGTCAATAAGAATAAATATGTTTTACACTTAAAAGTTTCTCAAGGAAAAAAAAATTTTTTTTAATAAAAAGTTAAATAATAAAAAAATTTATTTGGGAAAATATTTTTCGACTTAAATTAATTTTTTGTCTTAAAATATTGCAGGATCCAAAATAATAATTCCTTATCATATTATTTTCGTTTATGTTTAAGTGAAGTTGATTACAATTATCATATAAAATATATAATTATCTTATTAAACAAGGAATATTATAGTATAAATATACATTATTTACAATAGCAACACATATGTTATTTTCGAAAGCGTACAATAGTGAATAATATAATGAAAAAATTAATCAATAAAAATTAACATTGAAAATAAAAAAAAATGGAATAATTTAGTGTAATACAAGTCGTATAAAGTTGTTTTACAAATATTAAAGTGTTTGAAATATAACATACAATTTAGAATCATTAATTGTATTAGAAGCGAGTTTTATTCCAAAAGTAGGTCACTCGAAGTATATTTTTTTAATACTTTTTTAACTATAATTATTTTAATATTAATTAATTTTTTAGTTTTTAACATAAAACATTATTTTATCTTTTGTTATTATATTTTTATTTTATTATATATTATATTATAAAGTTTATATATATATAAAAATATCTATATATTTATTAAAAAAAGTGAACTATTTTTCTCTAATAATAATTCTTAAATAGATTGTATGGTTTCGTTATTTATATACAAATATCGAACTATCGGATTTAAGAAGGAAATCAGAAAGACCGTATTCTTTCAAGAATCTTTCCCGATGGTTTTCTCGTTCGGTGCCTTCATACATCAGATAATCCTTCCGCTCGACATACTTTCTTACTTGTACGATTCTGTTTATTGGAGTAAAATTAAACACTCGAAAGAATCGTAAAATTTTGCTTTAAATTTTGCTATAAAGGATGTTAATGTTTTTTTCTATGCCGTAAAATGTCGTCGAAAATCGTCCTTTGAACTTAATAAACTTTATCAACTTAACTTTAAAATTCATATAAGTTTTCGTTTTCGAAAGCATTAATTATTTAATAGCAGAGATTATTTCAATAGTAGAAATGTAATAACGAAAGGATATTCATTAATGATTAATCTTTTCGAATTGTGGTATCAATTTTCAAAACGTTCCTATGCATTTTTTTTCACGTTCCGAAGATGACGATGACTCATATGATCGTCGAAAAAAGCCTTTACTATCCGTCAGCTGCTATTCGATGTTTAGATGAAATCGTTAAAAGGCATACTTCGCTAAATGAGTTACGTGGTACGTAAATATATATGACTATATGCACACACATACAGATATATATACATACATTTGAGTATGTGTGGGTTTCCAATTTCGAGTAATTGCACTTGCACCATAGAATTGTGCAATGATCGCGAAAGGACACGTTTGAGAAGTATGAGAAATAGTTGCGAATTTACAAAGTCGAGTATTTTAGACGGCATCGTAATGTGATTCATTAACTCCGATATAATGAAAATCGAAAATGCCTTTTATCAAACATAAAAGAATAATCGTATTATTTGGATTAGAAAATATGAATAATTAAATTAAAAATAAAAGTCTGACTTTTTTTTTTGGACTTGGATTGCATGCCAACTATCATGTGAAGTTCCTTACAAGGAGATCGACAATTAGGTCACTTTCATCTGTACCCACGCTCTTCGAATCGTTACTCATTGCATGCGTCCACTTTCCGAAGAAACATCCCGTTCGTCTCAATACTTCTTTAACGTATGACCTCCTTATCAATATGCTTTACAGATCTCGAATTTTTACGATCAAAATTTTGATTAAAATGAACATCGTTAATAAGATATAATAGCAATGCGTTGTTAAATTGGAATTTCCAATTCGATTTCTCTATTAAAAAGTTTGAAAAAAAAAAGAAAAATAGATCTATATATCTATATAAAAAAAAGAGATATATCTATATATAGGTCTACTTTCGATTAACCTAATTCCAATAAATAGACTTGTCTATGATTCAACAATAAAAATAACAAATTACAATAAAAATACGACCAATAAGAAAGTGTTAGTATATTTGTGATGGAGTAGCTTCGATGTACGATACCATGTAGTAACCAGTCGGTGATTGGCAATGACCTCAACAGCGCCATTGGCCTCCTTTCTGGAGAACCCGTTTACATCTCTCGAAACTTCACTTCTTTTACTTCCTTCTTCCTTTCTCGCTCCACTCTTTTACCACCATCATAATCTTGTCCCTCTCTATCTATTCCTTCAGCTCGCTTTCTTTTTTCTCCATCCTCCTTCGATATACCGTTGGTTTATACGTCAATCGAAGCACTTTTACTACTAACACAGAGTGAACAAGATCACGTTACTCAACTTCTATCTTGTCACGCAAACAACATCTATCTTTTCCTTTTTCTAAATATATTTACAAGTCCCTACGTAGAAATCATTACTCCATCTTTATTTATTATTCCCATTATTAACATATTCTTTTCGGTTCCTTCAAAAATATTTCAATGAATAATAATATCATTTGATATTGATAAATAAGCTCAAAAATCAATCCTTCGACAACGATATTCTTATTTTTATTTGATAAGTTTGAATTTATTTAAATGATTATAAACTCAATTTAAATTTAATTAAGCAATTTCATATACAATAACATATTGGAGATGTTATTTATTTCATGTGCCATTGTAAACTTTGACCTCTCCGAGACGTCAGAAACAGTCTTCGGTAGACGCCGTACAGTGCATTATTAAATTATTAAATTATTAAATTATTTCACTAGTGTATTGATTCTATTTTGTTGAAAATATTCAAGATGCTCTGTTTATGCTCTCTCTTTCTCTTTTTTTTCTCTTATTTTTTTGTTTGTTTCTTTTTTTTAATGTCAAAGGATTAAGTAAATTCTATACATTTATGTATCTAACTCAAGGCAATTGGCATATATATATTTATGTATATAAATTGAGCCAGTCGACATATATACATTTATAATCCAAACGTATTAAAAATTCTTCTTACAGCAATTAAAAAACATACGTAATCTTATTTGCATTTAATGGAAAAATCTACTATCTTTCTTTGTTCTTTCATTTGTGCGTCGTTACGAGCACTTTTTTTTCGAAATAAGATTTTTTAGCAAAAATAAATTCGTGTTGAAGCAATGTTAATCGTTAGGATTACGAGTTTCTGATTATCCGCGACTAAACCATTAACGATGAAGAAAGATATTCGTGGAGTAACTTGTACGTTGGCTTAGAACTATCCATTATTTCGCCGTAATAGAATTTTAATACGAGTGGAAAATGATATATGAAAATGACATAACTATGTGAAAAAATGCGTTCATATCGACGATATATATGTTGAAGGATTTCCAATAGGAAGAATGGTAGACGTGAGATTGCCGAAGTTAAAAGTATATTCCATTCTTGCGTAAGCTTGAAAAAAAAAAATGATTCGTCATCTTTATATATACTGAGCGAAGGGTTAGAATCTTTTCTTTTTGTTTTTCTATGTAGCTATACAAAATTGTTCAAACTTAACATAAACTGTCTTTATTTAACGGAGTATCATATTGTCGAAACGTACATATACATATATATATGTACACACACACACATATGCGTGGTGCAATATAAATATACGCATACATAGTAATTTTTTTTCGTTGAGTAGGTTCGTTTCCTTAACCCAATATTATTAAAAAATATTATCACATCGATCACGAAACAGTTTGTTGATTTTTCTTAAAATCAAATGGTTCTTTATTATTTGTACTATTAGACTATTGCGTAAAAATAATTTACATCTATATAGAACGTATGTAAATTTGTAGGGAACATATATAAATAGAAACGTAACGGATTCTTATTTGAAATCGATTTCTTATTTTTAAAAATGGGACCATTAACATTCTACATTTCGAAATAACATTCTTACTTCGAAGTTTTTCATGAATGAAGATCTGTTAGGAGAGAAATGCACGACGATTCGAAAGTCGACAAGGAAATCTTTAAGTCAAACGAGTAGTAACGAATTATCATAAATAGAGAGAGGAATGGTGAAGCCATCGAAAGCATTCACGTGTTAATATTAGGTCTTCCTGACAATGAAAATTGCTTTCACATGTCTTCAAAAATATGCGTTTAACTGTTGATGTTATTTGAGAGTGGGATTTCTATGTACAGTTTGTTTAAATAAACGGATCTTAAAACTTTAAGACGTTAATGTATTTTAATCGATCATTATTGGTTCTAATTTCGTTTATAGATCATTAAGTTCCTTTTTTTTTTTCTTTTTAACAAGATGCCTTTCTTTCTCGTATTTAGAGATATTTTCCTTTTTTCCTTTAGTATTTTAATATAAAAATCGACTAATCTTATAACGAATGATATTCGTTTAAAAATTTATAAAATCAATATTATATCGTCATTATATCAAATTATATCAAATTATATCAAAAAACGTTCTAATGCAGTTTAAAGATATTAATAAATTTATGATTTTTCAGACCGTCCGTCATTATGGCACCAAACTTGTTCGGAACTTCGGCATCTTTATTCTTGGAAGCGTCCCAGCAGAATCTTATTCAGGAAAAGTCAACAACAGAAAAAACAAGCACGCCGAAATTGGAGACACAGAAATCGCTAAGATCGAAGTCAAAGTATAAATGGAAAATTGTATGGAGAAACGTGATAGCTTTTCTTTATCTCCACATCAGTGCTCTTTACGGGTTCTATATGTGTTTTACCGGTGCAAAATTGATCACGGTCATATACAGTAAGTCGTTGAATTTCGATTTTTTTTTACTTAGATTAGCTTTGGTATTCAAACGATCGTTATTATCAATCTCATGATAATATTATAGATATAATAATGAATTCTTACTCTACTGTCCTGTAAGACATTACAAATTCATTACGATATTTATTTATTATCGAATATCAAAGACATAAAATATATTAAAAAAATAATAAATATTTTTAATCATTTTGATAATTCTTTCTTTTTCAGCGTTTTTTATAGGTTTCGCAGCAGGCTTCGGTGTAACAGCGGGTGCTCATAGATTATGGGCTCATAAGTCCTATAAAGCGAAATGGCCTATGAGAGTAATTCTAATGATTTGTCAAACGGTAGCCTTCCAAGTAAGTACTTTATACTTGCACATACAAATATATGTAATAACAAAAGGTTCGCCCATTTAATTCTGATCCCGTGAGAAACGTTAATAATCCCGTTAATGATCCCGTTAATAATTGTTTAATCTTTTAATCGTTTAATCGTTTAATCTAGTACATTCTTGCGATAAGCAGATTGAGGGGGGTGGCAGTTAACGTTTGAAAAAATATATTTTTATACTCCTATATATTTAATTCCGGATTTCGAAGTGTAAAGTAAAAATATCAACTTCCTAAGCAATTAACGAAGATTCCGGAAAAATAAAAAATACCGAGTGACGGAATTGAATTGCGAAAAAATTCTAGAACTGGAATTTTATGAAATACAATTTTTCTATGCGATTAGGATTACGAACAATCCGAATAGTACTAATTATAGAACAATATTAAACAAAAAAAGAAACAAAGAATAGTTATCAAAGTAATAAAATATTTTATTAACATCAATTATTTTATTGGATTATATAATGAAAAATTTGTTTAAATAAAATTTAACCAAATTATCATTTATAGCATGTAAATTGATACAGAATGTTAAATGTGTAAACGTTCGAATTTGTTGCTAAAGGATAGTTAAGTGAAAAATATTGTTAATATTACAGAATCACATTTACGAATGGGTGAGAGATCATAGAGTCCATCATAAATTCACTGACACCGATGCCGATCCGCATAATTCTCAGAGAGGCTTTTTCTTTTCGCACATTGGCTGGTTGATGCTAAAAAAGCATCCTGACGTTATTAAAAAAGGTGCTACGATCGATATGAGCGACATTGAAAAAGATCCAGTAGTTGTTTGGCAACGAAGGTAAATATTAATCAATAAATTTTTGTCATTTTTATTTGGACATTGATGTATCTTTTTATTTTAATTTTTCTAGACTTTATATCATTCTTATGCCACTCTTCTGTTTCATCATTCCCACGTGGATACCATGGCATTTCTGGGGAGAGAAATTGATGTATGCTTGGTACCTCACTCTTTTCAGATATACCTTATCTTTGAACCTTACGTGGCTCGTAAATTCTGCTGCTCATATATGGGGTATGAAACCATATGACAGGTATGTAAAAATTTTCATTTCTTCTCTAAAATCAGTTGGACCATTTGCATTTGGTAATATAATCAATGAAAATTATTGTATTAATGAGAAAAATGAACCATTATTACAATGGATTAGCATTGTAGGCATATATAATCTCTTAAAGAATAATTTTTATCATTATTTTCTTCTTGCAGTTCTATCTCACCAACCGACAGTTATTCAGTCGGTATAGCTGCGTTTGGTGAAGGTTGGCATAATTACCATCATGTCTTTCCGTGGGATTACAAAGCCGCAGAGTTGGGCAACTATAAAATGAACTTTACGACAGCTATCATCGACGGTTTCGCGAAACTTGGTTGGGCTTACGATCTCAAGACTGTCCCTATTGAAATGATACAGAAACGAGCAACTCGAACGGGAGATGGCTCAAAATACGAAATTACCGAAGGTCAGCACGAACACACGCATAGTAATACTGTTTGGGGTTGGGATGATCGTGATATGATTTCTGAGGACATTCAATGCGCAAGGATATTACAAAAATCTGATTAAAATCAGTCATTATTGTTTGGAAATATCGCCGAAGAATAATTACCAAAAAAAAAAAGAAAACGGCATGAAAATAGAAAAAAAAAAAACTTGTAAAAGAGTGGTCGATTCTAGCATTTATTAATGTTATACCGTTTACGTACTAGTATAGTTACTTTTTTGTTTCGTTTTCGATCACTTATTTTCGAGTACCATATATATTACGTATCATAGCTTTAGTGTTGAATTTTTTAATATATCGAAGAAAGGGTAAAAGATAATGTAATAGTGAGTTAAAATCATCAATTAAAAATCTGAAACACGTAGCAATGGTGATAGTAGAACTATTTTTAATTTACGTACATTTAGTTTCTAATTTGCACAAATCGCATATTGCTATATTGTAATTCTCCCATAATTCCGTAGATGATATTTTTGATAGGAATTTAGTTGGATGACTTTTTACCTGGAAGAATTAACCAAATGTTTATTCGAGTAGGAAAAAAAAACAATTTTCTTTAAATCGATCTAATTTTCCGAAAGAGAATTGCTTTGTTCTTCGAAGTTTTCTCAGATACATGAATGATATACGCGGTTGTTGTAAATATTTATAAAATATGTTATTTCAATTTCCATATTGTCTTCCGAACACATTTTCTTTGGAGAATTTGTATTGAATTTAATTCTCTTTTTGGATAAAAAAATTTATCCGAATAACAAAAAAAATACTCCTCATATTATACAGGACTACTGTACATACATCGGATTTATTGATGATCGTTCTTCTCGAAGAAAATTTTAGCAATTCATTGATAATCTGATATCAATCTTTTGCCTTAAAACATTTATTTATATGTATACGAATACTGTTGATTAACTTAAGTTTCGGTATTTAATTAAAAATAATATGCACGGAATTATTGCATATTTATGGAATATAAAATTTTTACCAGATAGCAATCTGCTTTGTAAGTATAGTAACAGGGTATCGTTATGCGATATGAATACATTATTTATAATATGCTACTTGTTGTGCTATAGAATTATACTAAAGTTATTGAAGATTCTAGGAAAAACAGCGCAATTATGATAAGTCGAAGTAGCTGTTGTAAACAGGATGTGTTTATTTTATTTCTTTTATATGTCTATTAAAATGGAGCATGTTATATGTAACAAATGTCTTCTAATAATGATTGATATATACTTTCAAATAAATTATTTTATTCGCATACATGTTTATGCAGTATTTATATGTTATTTAAATATAAAACTGCCTTATTTTCGATATACCTATCTGATATATTAATATTTTCTATTTGACATTTCAGTAATTTTCTAACGGTAAATAGTTTGAAAAATAGCTAGACGTTCCTTGCGAATATTTACATTATTCTAGACGACAACAATGTTCTATCTACGTTAAGTTTAATAATACTTATATATCTAAATGCTGAAAGAATTTGATTCAGCAAATAACATTTTTAAATTGAGAAAAAATATCGTCATAATTTTCTCATTTGTATTGAATTATATTACTCGAACATGCGTTAGAAATATATTTACATGCGCATTTTGTTTTATTTCCATAGGAATGACATTCAGAAATTTCATAAATGTTATAACAGATGATCGAGTAAACATAAAAAAAAAAAAAAAAAAAAAAAAACAACAAAAAGAAATTAAGACTCAACGAGTGTTGTTTAACATGGATTTAATAAAAAAGATCAAAATGATCATGTTTGTGATCGAAGTTCAAATAAAGTTAGAATTATGTTCATGACTCATTATTTTATACGTTGAATTATGATCAATATAATTATTAGTACTGTTTAATTTGAACTTGGATTGAGAAAAGAGAGGATATAAATTATAGGTTCATAAGCTGAAAGAGAGTTCTAATGGAAGTGACAATATAAAGTAGATATGATTGCCTATCGAAAGAAATTGATAGTAATACCACACGAGAGAATATTTTACAAGTAAATATGATACTATAAGATGCCAATTTCGCAATATTGCAGCACGTTATTGCTATCTTTATATAAATAATTATTCCTGTCTTATAATAAACAAAAACACTAAAGATTAAGTAATATTAATATATTTTCTATTCGAAATAAAAAATGTAAATATTTAAATATCTGTACGTTTGAAACAATCGATTAATGTTAAAAAAAAGGTATCGGAGTTTTGTAAAATTAAACTATATAATTCGTTCAAGTGTCTAATTTTGTTAAGATATCGATTAGGAAATCAATGATTAGATAAAATATTTCTAAATAAATTTAGTAGAAAAATTTTTGAATAGGTGAATAATAATATAGAAAAAATAGTTGTCACAAGAAATTGTAACAGCGTAATAACAATGAATGCAAATAGGGGAAAGAATATATCGATGAATTAATACTGCATTAATAACACTTCATAAATAATGCAGTATTATTTATGAAGTGTGACGATTTTGTTACTACTATTATACCTTCTCTGGTAAGATACATAATTAACACGCCTTATTATCATCAAACACACACATAGAAACCAATTAAAATAAGAGGCAACAAAAACACCGAGAACAAAAGAAATCATTCATTCTGTTTTTGATTCTTCTTGAGATCACAGGCATAGTTACTGAGAGTGATAATCTGATTAAACTACTATGTAATTGAAGAAGTTAAATAATTATATCACAATTATGGCTTGATGTGCAAAGTGTATTGTTAACGAAAAACCCACATCAGTTTGTTTTAGTCTGTTAATAAATGAAATCTTCGTTTCTATCTTCGTCCTTATCAATTAAAATAGCATTTAGAGATTGCTTTTGATACGATAAGACATTCTTATGTTCGTGTCGAACAACGAAATGACCTGAAAATATCGATTAAAAGCAATTTTATTATCGATCACGTAAATCAACAAATGCTATTGTGCTAGTCGAATATCTTCAACAAATTTCGATTAAAAAAAAAAAAAAAAAACAACGACAAATCGGAATGCTTCGTACAATATACTTATTTGATTCGTATAAAATTTGATAAATCTTAAATTGGAACGTATTAATGATAAAAGCGAGGAGCTAAACCTGTTGAAAAATTTTTATATACGTAATGGAATTTTTTTTAAAGTCTGATAATATTTTTCGTAGCGTTAAGACTGTTGGATGATTCTTAATTATTTTCCTGCTAATGTTGTACAATGGTTGTTTTGAAATAATTTTAACGCTTCATATCGTAATAAATATAATCGATTAAAATTATCTTTCTTTTCAAATTCAAATAAATTGTTAAGAGTTGCCATCGTGAATTCAAATTACCAAAAGAAATTAAATTGCCCTTCACCAAAAGGATTTCAAACTTACTTATAGTATTATATCGAGTTGTAAATTTATAATCGCGAAAACAATTATGAAATTGAATTACTAACATCATTTACGATCGCAAAATATTAGATGGTTATTATTTTTATAAAAATAAAGATTAGATTAAGAAAATTATATTCTATTTTTCAAATTTAATAGAATTCTTAAATCGTATTAAATCGTCGATTTCTATTCAAACTGATATAAAAATGAGATGAATAAAATGAAGTAAGGTAATGTAAAAATATCGTGATTGATTGAATATTCGTTAACAACTTGATGCTTCTTTGCATGATTATATCATGATCTCGAAATTGAGACGAACAATTTCAATTATAATTCTTAATGATTACTTATTGTAAATGATATATTTTTAAATAATTTTTTAAAATAATTTATAAAGTGCATCATTTGAATTTTCATATTATTTTTCGAACATGTATATTATGTATATAAAATATATATATTAGGTTTACAAATTAACTCTTTCTGTCTTAAGATCAATTCATATTCTGTCTTAAGATCAATTATTTTTTGCCAAATAATAATTCTAATATGCTAATCTTAATCATTAAATAACATTATCAATTGATATTTTCTTCAATTTCCAATTACTGTTTTCACTTAAGACAATTTACTTTTCTTAAATTCACCATGCAAAACGGTCTAAACTTTTAATTAAAAATCGCAAACTTTTTCCATCAGAGCAAAATAATCTATCTATACCATAATTATGATATTGTAATATTACATAGATACAATCGTTAAATTCAAACCAAAAGAAACATATTTTGTAAATGTATTTCTAGTGGGTGTAATTTAAACTTTGGATATTCTATTGAACAATAAGCACAATACGTAAGATATTCTAGAAATTCTTTCACATATCGATTAAAAGATTTACGTGAATTTAGCTTTAAGATTATAAATGCAGCCCATTACAACATTTTGCTAATTGATCTCAATACTTTGAACATTCTTCTGGATAATACATTGAACCCAGACGTTCTACAAATATTTCTTTACAGCAATCGAAATATTTACGTGAGTTTAATTGTTAACAATTTATAAACATATTTTATTTCAATTTGTAATTTGAACATTAACAATTGAAACATTGTGTCTCTTAAATAAACTTTCATTCTTTTGATTTATGTTGTATACATTTTTACGATTAATATAAATAATTTTCTTTTAAATAGGTTTTTCAATGAAAGTAGACACAAGTCGAAGCAATATCTTAAAACGCTATAAATATTAATTTTTTAATTACCCGCGATGATCGTTAATGATGAGAAAATATTTTTGTAGATTAACCTCAGGTTAACTAGTTTATTCTATACAGCAAGAATAGTTTATTAATTTTTTTCGGTAAGGAAAATGTGCATTTAAGTTAAAAGTTTCTTAAGAGATATAGAATTACTTTTATTTTGTAAATTCTTATTTATCGAAATTGTATAAAGAAAGGAAAGTTAAATATATATGTCTATATAAAATTAAAATCTACGCTCAAGGTCTGAATTCTTAAGTATGCATTAAGCATATTTCTGAATACATTAAAATACATTCTCATAAAAATAAAACGACCTAAGACTCTGGTTATTTAATCACCTATATATATATGGATCTATATTTATATTTTACATTTTAATTATTTGTATTTTACATTTTAATTATCTCTATTGTTCACGATCTCTTATTTCCTTGCTCCAAGATATTTTTGTCAGCATTCTAAATCGACTTATTCTAGAAT